AAAAAAAAAAAAAAGGCCACTTGTAATTTAGCTACTTTACCCTATGTTTACAGCCAGAGGAGGTGAAGATAAATAATTCAGTGAAAAAGGTTGCTAATTAAAAATTAAGCTTTCTAAACAAAAAGATTAACCTAGGCCCAATTTATTTCTCAAAATATAAAGATACAAGTTAACCCTTGGACAGTATGAGCTAAGCACTGTTCAAAGTACTTCCTTGAAAAATAAAATCTGGTATTGGAAATAACTGCTAGACTTTGGCTTTTCTCCTGGGGTATYATAGTGGTATGTTTTGATCACGGAAGCTAGTTACCTTAATTTAAAGTGAGGTGATTCCTCTCACATGGGATGATCATGAGGGTTAAATGAAAGATATGTAAAATGAATTTTTAAATATTTAAAATTTAAATGTGATTCTTATTGGTGAGCAGTCCCACTTGTTTCCTCTGACTTCACAGAGCTTATCAAATGTGTGACATTGATCTCTTGTAATCAAGTCAAAACAAGTTTTTAAATCAAACACCATATTCTGGGATGAGGCTTATTTGTGCATAGATTTCCTAAAATAAGATTTATGGGAWTATAAAAGAAACCAGTTATATTGAAATACAGTTATTTTAGTATTATATGTTTAAACACATTAAGTAGTAAGATTTAGCAGTGAGTTTAATAACTACCATAATTTCAGGGCAGTGACAACTGAAGGAGGCAGCATTTCAAGTTATCTATAACCACCATGGTGCATGTGAAAATAGCTGCCATTTCTACTGGGGACAAAATCACCACACCATTGTCACTGCTTGGTTTGTCATATGCATTCATGATAGAGGGAGTTAACTTTCAGTTAGAGGTTAGTGAAAATAAAGATAGACCTTTTTTCCCATCCAATCATTCCATTGAATTCTATTCATGGATCCCCAAGGTTAAGAACCCCTGTTCTAGAAGGCTATTTTAGAGTCTTTAGAGTCTTATTCTGTTAGGAAAAAAAAATCCAGGAAATTATGAGACAAAACAATTGATTGCAGTGTATGTTTTGTTAGAACAGTAAAATGATACCTTGTCTCTTGATTTCAGGTTGCATTCACAGGAACCACTTTTATTGGCTACGTAGGATTATGGACTGGTCAGAGTCCACACAAGTTTACAGTTTCTGGTGATGAACGAGGTAATCAAACTCCTGAGCATCTCCCACCCTATCCCTGTTCAGTTCTAGTTTCCTTCGCTCAACAGAATATGTGGGAGAACATCTACCACGTGATAGGGACCTTCATCCTAGTGACAGGAGAGGGACGGTAGGCTTGGAAGCAATGAAGATGATCTCAGGGAGTGGTAAGCACTACCAAAAAAGCAGAACAGGAGGACAGGGAGAGTGCAGGACAGCCAGGGGAGGTCCCTCCAGGGGATCCCCAGCCAGTTCTACAGAAGCTGCTACCCTCRCCTTCCTGTAAATCTCTCTCTCCCCAGCACTAGAACGATCACGTGGTCACCCTGTTTAAAACCCACTGTAACTCAGGAAGACACATGATTTCACTTACATGTGAAATCTAAAACAGAGAGAATATCTGCATATTTTTACTCACTAGAAGAACATTGTACTTATAGAAGAGAGGAGAATGGTGGTTACCAAAGGCTGGAAGTAGGGATGGGGAAAGGAGAAATGTTGGTCAAAGAGTACAGAGTCTCACCTAGGAGGAATAAAGTCTGGTGGTCTGGGGTCACCTGGTGTCTATGGTTAATAATAATGTACTGTATATTTCAAAATGGCTAAGAGTGGATTTTAAACAGTCTCACCACAAAGAAATAATAAGGGTATGAGGTGAKGGATATGCTAATTAGCCTAATTGGCTCATTCCACCATGTGTGCAGGTATTAAAACATCACATGGTAGCCAGACAGGTGGCAGAARCCTGTAATCCCAGCACCTCGGGAGGCTGAGGCAGGAGGACCATGAGTTCAAAGCCAGCCTCAGCAATTTAGCAGGTCCTAAGCAACTCAGAAAGACCCTGTCTCTAAATAAAACACAAAAAGAGCTGGGGATGTGACTCAGTGGTTGAGTGCCCCTGAGTTCAATCTCTGGTACCAAAAAAAAAAAAAACCAACCCCACATTGTACTCTATACATAAATACAATTATTATTCATCAATTAAAATAACAATACAAAATTTTAAATGTCACCCCMAAAAAACTCTGCAGTGGATTGTCCATTTCACTTAAAACAAACTCAAGGTCCTGATTCTCACCCCAGAACCCTACTTGATCACCTCCTGCACCTCGTTGTATTCCTCTCTCCCTTGCCCTTCCTCTGCCTGCACCTCATTGGCCTTCTTTCTCTTCCTGAAGTCTGCCCTGACACCCACGCCTTCTGCCTGGCATGCTCTGCCCATCTATAATCCCAGTCCCTGGAATTACAGGTGTGGCCCTTTGCCCAATTTTGAATTGAGGTGTTTTTGTTTTTTGATTATTGTTGTTGAGTTTTAGACGTTCTCTATATGTTCTGGCTATTAACCCCTTATCAGATATCTATATGTAAATATTCCCCCCACTCTATTCTTTTCACTCTGTTATTATCTTTTAGTGCACAAAATTATGAAGTTTTTACGAAGTCTAATTTGTCAATTTTTTTTTTCTTTTGCTTCCACTGCTTATTTCTTGCATGATTTTTTTTTAAAATAAATACCCTACAGAGACTTTTAAAGGAAAATAATTTGGGGAGTGACTGAAAATATGTATGTTTTTTTTTTAAAAAATGTAAGCCCAAATCAAACTTAAAGGTTTTAGAGATATATGTTGTAAAGATATAAGTTCTATACATTCTTCCAAATAATTACTGAGCCACTTTTCTTAAAAGATACATGATTTAATTTTGCCTGGGATAATTAATACAGTGTTTTCTTTTGCCATAATTATCATTGTATTCAGGTACCAAAAATTTTACTTTCAACACTTGAGAGAATATCTGCATATTTTTACTCACTAGAAGAACATCTATGTTTATTGTATGTATGTGTACACACATAAGCATATGTATATGATGTTCTTATGTCACTATGAAATTCAGACTTAATCTTTCAAAGCTGCGTACTAGTAAAATCACTTTTTCTTAGCCAGCCTTTCTCTTCCATCAGCTTGTAAAATGGGAATGAAGCAAAACAAAACAACAAAAAAAATGTGTTGTTGTTGTTGTTGCAGTATTGGGAATTGAACTCAGGGACGCTCTGCCACTGATCTACACCCTGAGTCCTTTTTATTTTTTGTTCTGAGACAGGGTCTCTAAGTTGCCCAAGCTAGCCTTAAACTAGTAATCCTGATACTCCAGAGTAGTTGGAATGTCAGGTGTACACCACGACGCCTGGTAGAAATTAACAAAATTTAAGAAAAATACATTTTCATGCTGTTTGAGTAACAAACTGTTACTTCTTCACCTCGGCAGATAAAGGCTGGTGGTGGGAGAATATGATCGCTGCCCTTTTTAAGAGATACTCTCCAGTCAGCTGGCTTATCCGCACTGTGAGTATATTTATTGTTGAGCCCACCTCACACTAACTTCATCTTCTAGACCACTGTGTTCTTGTTGCGATGTTCTTTGTCACTTAGAGATATTGCTTTTAATGTAAAAAGGTGCTGAAAAGMAGCAGAACTTAAATGTTTGCAAACTGCACTTGAACCTTTCAATAATAAGTATCAAAGGTAAACAAAGCCAGGCCCTAATTAAAGTAGCAATTAGGGGTTTTAATCAGTAATATACTACAATTAGAATAAGGACTTGGATTTGAGCAGAGGTGGTYGGCTATTTTAAAGGAAGAATGAGGGAATAGAAAAGGAGTTGAATAGAGGCTTAGTAGAGTCAGGGAAGGGAAGAATTCTGAGTGGAAAGGAGGGGTTGCCCATKTGAAACCCATCTGGGTTTGCTAACTGGCCTTATGGAAGTTGGGCTCCTATCCTCCCACTAAGRCTGGGAGATAGAGTACTATTTTCAGGTGTTGGCTGGAATGAATTCTTTTGATGACCTTGAGTGTCCTCAGACAGGCTAGCAGGGAGGRTCATCTTAGGGATACAGCCTTGAGCTGATAGAAATGGCTAGTGTTTGTACCTCTTGATAGGCCAAGGTTAGGGCAAGTAGAAGAGGACTCAGAGGAGCCCAGCTAGAGTTTGTTCAGGAGAGAATCTTTATCATAGGCTAGAATTTTGCACAATATAAGAGATTAATTTAGGTTCTTCTATGGGTATAGATATATACACTCCTTTTAGAATCTCCTTTACAAATATCTGAATTAATGAATCAAATGCATTACAATTTAKCTTCACATACCACTAAAGGAACATATGCTTTATACAAGTCTATTAAATGAGCAGCTTCCAGGCCATATAAACTTTATTTTGACTATAGAAGGCCCCTTTAGGGAGCACATCTCTGGTATCAGGATCTGGCCCTGTCCAGCTTTGCCTTTCTGACCTTTCCTCACTTTGCTCTAAATCATCTGCCCACTGCCTGCCTCTCCTTGACCTCTCGCATTTCTCTTCAACTTGTTGCTGGAGCACTCCCTAAAGATGCTGTAAAACTATGCATTCATCACAAATGAACTTCTATTATTCCCTTCCAACCCCCGCTTATTGCGTGTTAGCATCCGCATATCAGAGAAAACACTTGGCCTTTGGTTTTGGGGGGATTGGCTTATTTCACTTAGCATGATATTCTCCAGTTCCATCCATTTACTGGCAAATGCCATAATTTCATTCTTCTTTATGGCTGAGTAATATTATTTTGTTTATATATATATCACATTTTTCTTTAGTGATTCATCCATTGAAGGGCACCTAGGTTGGTTCCACAGCTTAGCTACTGTGAATTGGGCCGCTACAAACATTGCTGTGACCATGTCATTATAGTATGCTGATTTTAAGTCCTTTAGGTATACGCTCAGGAATGGAATAACTGGGTCAAATGGTGGTTCCATTCCAAGTTTTCTGAGGAATCTCCRTACTGCTTTCCAGAGTGGTTGCCCCAATTTTCAGTCCCACTAGCAATGGATGTTCTCTCTTATACTTTAATGTATCACCCTCTCAGGGCCTAGCCCATGATGCCTGATACCCTCCACCCCCCTCACCCCGGCCTTCCTTTGAAATATCCATGGAAGCCTCCATAGTTCTGTAACTCTTGTATTCTGCATTCCCACAAAACCAGAACTAAGTGGAAAATGCCAACGTTTGCCGTCAGCAAGAGCAATAGCCAGGCTTTCATGGACCATGGCTACAGTGGCCTCTAAGTGCATGGTGAAATGAATTCTGGGGAAACAGCATCATACATAGGCAGTCCTACGAGACCAGGGCATCCTCTGTGCTTTCTTCTCAAAGCAAAGTATTTCACATGAGATTTTACTTTTACACCCTTGAGCCTACTATGGGTCGGGGGTGGGGGGGGGTGGTGTCTGGCCAGTTGTTGAGATGTCTTCAAAACAAGGCATCTTTTCTGATGTCTCTATGCCTAGCGCATGGCTTCTGTTTAATGGTGCTAATATCTCCAGCAACCACAACTCCCTTGGCCCCAATTTTACATGTGCTTTTCTTGTCAAACTAAATTTTTTTCAAATCTTTCTGTTCCGCTTCTTGCTTCTGATTCAGATTTTATACCTGGCTAAAAGCCACTGCCTGAATGCTGTGTTGCCATGAAATTGCCTCCAACAGATTAATTAGTCCATCACCTTTAAATTCAGCTCATACAAAATCTCATAGCATGTACAAAATTAGACAAGTTCTTTGCCAGGATGTAATAAAAATGGCCTCTAGCTCAATTCTCAACAAAGTTCTCATTCTCATCTGAAACCTCGTGACTACAGTCTTTACTCTCTGCATTTATTTCAGACTTCTGGTCTTCTGAACTCACACCAGAAATATTCATTAAGCTCAGCTTACAATATTCTAGGGATTTCCTAGCCTGTATTGCCAAACTTTTCCAAATGCCTCTCCATTCCAAAGGCCAGGTATAGGAATAGCATCAACCCCACTTCTCCGAGTTAATTTCTGTTTTAGTCAGCTTTTCATTGCTGAACCAAAATACCCAACAAAAACAAGTCAGAGCCTTTATAATTCAACCACTTCCCCAAATTCTCRCCTCTGAACACTGTTTCATTGTGGACCACGCCTTCAACACACGAGCCTTTGAGGGGTACTTCATATCCAAACCATAAATTCCCCATTTCCTCCATTTCCTGAAATAGATAAAGCACTTGTTTTCTCTGACTTTGTCACTTSAGTGAAATAAGTCACTATGCCTTCAATATTTCTTATTGATGTTCTTTTGCTTTGTTCACACAGAGCTCTCTGTAAGAAGGAATGCATTATTTAATAATAGTTGGATGATGATATAGTTGGGTGTTTGATATAATCAAACAAATATCCCATTACTCCAACTACCGCACTTTGTCATTTTTCTCAGTTCAGAACAAACCAATGCAAATCAAAATACCCCTCACAGCAGTATGTATAAGACAGGGTGATTTATGGGTGCTGAAGGATGGAACATTTGCAGATACCAATATTTTGAATCATTCTTTTTATTTTATTTTATTTTATTGAACTCGGGGTATTCAACCACTGAGCCACATCCGTAGCCCTATTTTGTATTTTATTTAGAGATAGCATCTCACTGAGTTGTTAGCACCTTGCCATTGCTGAGGCTGGCTTTGAACTTGTGATTCTCCTGTCCTGTCTTAGTCTCCAGAGCTGCCACCACACCCRACTTTGAATTGTTCTTTTATTTGACCCTATCCCCACCCAAACCCTTAACAGTGTGTCTTGACAATATTCAAGATGAGTTAGCCTAAAATGTACTACTCTCAAAAAATTAATTATGAAGGTGCAGGCAGAAAGAACAGGCCTTCTACTGCAGAATGTTCCTGAGCAGATCAGCTCAGAAGGAGCACCCATGGAAGCTGAGGATTTTGAAAGATTCCCTTAACTGCCCATGCCATAGAACTTTAGAAGTCTTCATGGACCCTCAGGAAGTCTTCATGGACCCTCAGGGGTGTCAGAACAGCAGTTAAGCTCTCCATTCATATGTGTTCTTTTATCTCAAGCCTTTGCTAATAAGTCCATTGAACTAGAACTTTCTACCCTACTCCCTGTCCTCTTCCTGCAACCACCACTTTCATAATTGAGTTCAGCTCCTGTGATGCTTCCATGGGATRCCATTTCTACTGCCCTGGGAGAGGATGGGCTCCCTGCTATGACTTCTGCCACTTTGCCTTCTCCAGTGCTAACACTTACTGTTCTGTGTCCCCATTGCCTGGTTGACTTTTCTGTCTTCCTTGGAAATTTGGGAAGAAAAASAACCAGGTCACTCATATGCACTGCTCCAGCCTGGCTCCTGCACAGTGCCTAGCCACCAGTAGGTACTCAAGAACTGCCCTTGAAAGAACAAATGAAGGGAGAAACACAAGGCATCTGTTGAGACTGAGATCTGCCTRGAAAGCACCTAGCTTGTGTTTGGTGAACCAGGTGTGGGACCTGCAACAGTTTTGTCCTTTCATGAGGAATTCTTGCTGATTTTGGCCCCCACTGCAGCTGAGGTTTCTTCCATCTCAGGAAGATAAGTTAGAGTAGTTCTATGGCTCAATATATCAGGAGAAAGCSCTTTGGATCATTTTTGTTCATCGTTGGGTGTGGACCATTCCCTTGGATCATGTTGCCTATGCTGGTTTGTCTTTTTGTTCAGACGCTGAGTGAGTCGGAAAACTTTGAAGCAGCCGTTTACAAGTTGGCCAAGACTCCCCTCATTGCTGATGTCTATTACATCGTTGGTGGTACATCCCCCCAGGAGGGAGTGGTCATCACCAGGAACAGAGGTGGCCCAGAAGACATTTGGCCTCTAGATCCTTTGAATGGAGAGTGAGTTGAATTAAAGACTCTGGTCATTTTGTATCAAATCTTTCTTTTTAATTTGGTGAAACTGAGGTATTTTTATTTTTTAATATTTCTTCTATAATTATATCTCAACAACCTTGGATAAGACAAGATGATGTGCTCTGTTGTAGGTGGTTCCGAGTTGAGACAAATTATGACCACTGGAAGCCAGCACCCAAGAGAGATGACCGGAGGTAGCCTTCCATATGCTTTCTGGTTGGCCATGTTTTTTTGTGGTCAAGAGAATATCCCCTTCCTACCCCAGGGACTGGAGAGACCTACAGGTGTTTTCCCCTCCTAGAGAGCGTACTTCCCTCCCTTCACCAGTGTCTTGACCAGGGTGGGGAGTACAGTGTGTGGAGGAAAGTCATGGTGAGGGCCTTTTGGTAGTTGCTGGGGTTGGAAAGAATGAAGTTGGCCCTGGCCTAATGGCTAGAATCCCTGAAGCTCACCACCAACCTCACTAATAACTCTTTGTGTGGCCTCTTGGATCTCTGTTCACCCATCTGTAAATAAAAGGACAAGGCCAGACTCATGAACTTCAGTGTAGTTGGGGTTTTTATTGTCCCTTCTAATTGTGAAAATTCTATTACTCATTGTGGCTGCAAAGAACAGATGACTGTATATTTCACTTGCCTTTACTATCCCAAATTTGGTAGCAAAAATTTAATTCTGAAACTTCCTTGAGCACAGGAGCCAACAGGACCAACAATTGAATGAGTCCCATCATGGTGGTGTGAGCCAACGTAGCTAATATGCTTGGGGGCCACATTCTGTTTTGACATAGGGGAGATAATGAGACAGGGCCCTGGATGTGTAAAAGAGAATRACAGCTGATGGGATTCAGAGTTTCCTAAAGTACCTAGTGACCTTTGACGGTTGTCCTTGCAGAACACCTGCCATCAAAGCCCTTAATGCTACAGGACCAGAAAACATCAACCTGGAGACACTTTTCAAGGTAACTTGTGTCCTGATSTCCAGTTTACCCAGGATGTTTGGTGAAAAAAAGAAATTCTCTGAAATCAAACAAATGTAGTAGATGAAAAAGTTATAGTAACAGTTCTACCTAGTTAAAAACTTTTTAAAAAGTTACATGACATTTATTGAGCTTTTTTTCTGTATAGGTTAAAATTCCACCTTCACCTGAGTTTTTATTCACATTAAAAGTAAACAGACATAGTTGTAATATATGTTTATTGTTTAAAAGAAAAAAAAGAGCAAGGATTAAAAGGTTTATAACTATAGCCTTGAGATACACTAAAGGGTTCAACGGTTATGTTCTTCCTATAGATATTCTATATGTATTTCTTCTACCTTTTCATGTTTTTGTAATTTTTTTTTTCTGTGCAGGTTTTGTCAGTGGTTCCCGTGTATAACAAGTAAGTTAAGCACATCTGTTCATCTGTCACCTCAGAACAGTGACTTCACTCACCCACTGTGGCTCCCCAGGCATGTGAGGGCTCCTGGGATCAGACACCATAGGTGTTGTCAGTTCAGCAGTGGACAGAACCGTCTCYACTCTCAGGGGACTAACATTCTGCGTGGGGAGTGGGGTAGATAAACAAATACACCACAAGTCAGGTGAGAAATTCATGCCAAAACTAAAAGTGAGGAGGACAGAAGATGGAGAAGGAGGAAGGCAGTGACATCTTCACCCTGATTCAGTCTGGTAGCTGTGGGCAGTTTTCACTGGRGATGAGCATCCTTAACATCACTTTGTTAGAACTAGATTTTTAGCACCTTTGGTGTTCTTTATCTTCCTGGAAGTTTCCACTACCTCCACCCCCATGTTGTTCCTCATTCCACACCCAATTTAGTAAGAATAGTTCCTTTAGCCTGCACCCTTGAGGGTAGCATTGTGTGAGCTGTGGTTTCTCTGGACTATAGTTCAGGATTTTATTCACACTTTTTGGGCAAAGCTCTAGGCCACGATTAGCTCTTAGCTCAATTTGAGAGGCAGCTGCACCAAATCTGTTGGGGGAAACTGTGAAGGTCCATTGTYACCACCACTGCAAAGCTGAATAGGCCATCAGCCCCCCTCTTTATCATCCCCATTAGGGGAACACTGAGGAAGGGGACTCACCCCTAACTGCCTTATTCACACCCAMGACTACCTTTTTAGGAATGTAGGCACCTTCTTATGCTTAGTGGGGCAGAACTGAACTTATTAAAATAAATGAGGAAGTACCTGCAAGCAAAGATAGTTATCTCCTTCCTTTACTTCAATAAACTCCAAACAGCATTTCCTACTTTCTCATCTCTGCTTTCTCCACAGCAATAATATCAAACTGTATTCTTCAAGAAATAACAAGTGAAACTTTAAACATCCAGTAGAAGCCAGGTATTGTGGCACATATCTGTAATCCCAGATACTAAGGAGGCTGAGGCAAGAGGATCCCAAGTTTGAGACCAGCCTGGACAATTTAGCAATATGGAAGGGCACTTGCTTAGCACATGTGAGGCCCTGGGTTTAATTCCCACRATTGCAAAAACAAACAAACAAACAAACAAAAAACAATCAAATACCCTGTAGATTTTTTTTTCTTTGCATTTGTATCTGCGTGCTTTAAGATTCCTGAGTACAAAGATTTTCTCAAAACTGTTATTTTGCACCATAATAGAAATCTATTTCCAAAATACCTCTTTGGAAGTCTTTTCATTGAGTATGGCCAGATACAAAGATTAACACTTAAGAATTTATTTCATAATTTTCTAATAGCCAACATAGAAAACAAATTAATCAGTATTCTACCACCATTATGTAGCCATTTAAAAATTTGAAGGCTATTCAAAGCATGGACTATTTAAATAAATATAGTAATGATTTTATTACAAAACTAATTTTAAAAATATAGTCATTACTTATGTAACTACTTTAAAAACTATAAGAATACAGAAATAGTTTCTTAACCCTTTAATTTATTTTTATTATTTATTTATTTGTTTATATTTGGTACCAGGGATTGAACCCAGTGGCTCTTAACCACTGAGCCACATCCCCAACTCTTTTTATTTTTTATTTTGAGAAAAGGTCTCACTAAGTTGCTTAGGGCCTCACTAAGTTGCTGAGATTGTCTTTGAACTTATGATCCTCCTGCCTCAGTCTCCTGATCTGCTGGGATTACAGGCATTTGCCACAGTGCCTGGCCTTTCTTTAATTTCTTTTTATTCTTAAATTTTAAAAATTTTKTGGTACTGGGGATTGAACCCAATGGCACTTTACCACTGAGCTACAATCCAAGTCTGTCTTTATAATAATTTGAGACTCTTGCTAAATAGCTGAGGCTGGCCTTAAACTGGGATCCTATAGCCTCACCCTCCCCAGTCACTAGGATTACAGGCACATGCCAACACACCCAGCAACCCCTCATTTTAAAAATAAATATTCTAACAAATAAGCTATTTGGATAAAGAACCACCCCCCAATGCCCCCAATGGTATGTTTATAAATTAACTCTTTGTGATAGGGGAGAAAAACAAATAATTTCCCTGATTTTTAGCATTTGTCAATTTCCTATTGTAAATACAGGTAAAGTATCCCTTATTCAACATGCCTGGGACCAAAAGTGTTTCAGATTTCAGAGTGTTTTCTGTTTTGAAATATTTTCATGCACTTTACCAGTGAAACATTTCTAATCTGAAAATCTGAAACATTCCAAAATCCAAAACTTTTTGAGGGCCGACGTAGTGCTCAAAATGTTTTGGATTTCAAAGCATTTTATATTTTGGATTTTGGATGCTCAACCTGGACTTTCACCATGGCTGATTTGAAGCTTTCAGTTGGTTCATGAATTACCTATATATTTGACAATTGCTCTCACTAGCCTGTAGGAGCCAGCTCTAACACTTTATTGGCTGTTTCCTAGGATATAATTTTGCTCTTCTAATATTCATTTTTAAAATAGAGTTTAAAAACTAAGCATGGGGCTGGGGATGTGGCTCAAGCGGTGACGTGCTCACCTGGCATGTGCAGGGYRCTGGGTTCAATCCTCAACACCACATAAAAATAAAATAAAGATGTTATGTCCACCAAAACCTGAAAAATAAATATTTAAAAAATTCTCTCTCTCTTCTCTTTCTCTCTCTCTTTAAAAAAAAAAAAMAAAACTGGGCATGGTGTACATGCATGCTAGTAGCCCTAGATGCTAGGGAGGCTGAGGCAGGAGAATCCTTTGAGCCAAGGAGTTTGAGGCCAACCTGGGCAACTTAGGGAGACCTTGTCTCAAAAAATTAAAAGGGATGGGGATATAGTTCAGTGGTAGAGTGCTTGGCCAGCATGTGAGAGACCCTGGGTTGGAATCCCAGCATTACAAAATAGGGGTTAAAAATTATCTTAGTGTTCTTACAGTTTTTGAAAGTAATTACATAAATGATCACTTTATTTTAAATTAGTTTTATAATTAAGCATTTAGTATATTTATTTTAATAAAAGAAAGCAATTTCTATGCTTTGAATATCCCTCGTATTTTTAAATGCTGCACGATGCTTAATTGTATGCATTATAATGAAATTAATCTTTCTCCACTTACTAGTTTTTCCTCCATTAAAACAGAAATRAACATATATGTATCTCACACACCCRCTACTTTTGGATTTTTTAAAATTATTTCCATTGGCTGAATTCCCAGAAGTAGGGTTACTGAGTTACAGGCTCTGACTATTTAAATCGTTTCTGAAATGTTTGTCAAAATAAAATTGTTAGAAGTTATAAGTAGTTTACTAAGTAACATTTTTCTCTATTGTGTAATCAAAAACCCAAGAGGAAATTTAAATTTAAATGACAGTCCTCACTGAACCAGAATGAACGCAGCATTCTAACTCTCAGGCCCTTTTCATGTAATGATTAACCCCATCTGGGCTTGTTGAGTGTGTGAGGTCAGTAGAAATGTCAGAACATACCAGATTAGCTCTATGTTGCCCCCTTGTGCCGTACTCAAAAGTTAAACCTGCTGGCAACAGAATGTTCTCTGTGGCCATCAGCAGAGAAAGCATTAATGTAGAGAGGGAGACCTGGGTTTGGTGGTGCACACCTGAAATCTCAGCTACTCTGTCTGAGGCGGGAGGTTTGCAAGTTCAAGGCCAGCCTGTGCAATTTAGTGGTACCTTGTCTCAAAATTTGAAAAAATAAAAAAGGACTAGGGATGTAGCTCCGTCCTGAGGGTAGTGATAGGGAAGTGATAGAGAATAGACCTATGACTAAAGTAAGCAAGCATCTGAGGTCCTGTTCAGAGGACCCCTGATACCCTTARTCAAGCTTTAAGCATGCTCACAGTGCTGTCTTCAGCTGGCTGTGTGATTCAGCTGTGGTGTTCAGTGCCTCTAATTCTGCCTGTTCCTGAACAACCCAGTTCCAGTTGCTTTGACCATGTGCCCCAGCTGCTCTCTAACACAAGCAATGGAGGAAGGGAGTGAAGGAATGGGCCTTAGCATGGGTGCACATGTGCTTGTGTTGTTCTCTTGCTTTGCAAAATGTGGAATAAATGACATTGTACTTTTTTCCCCTTAGTTCTGGGCAAGAGGGGCATCTACCTTGATCCCTGAGATTTTGAGGCTGTACTCTGGCCATCCTCTGGATGTGATCCTCCCATATAAGGAATATGCTGGGTCAGGTGTCCATCCAGAATCTGCCCCAGGATTTCCTGAAAAGCCCCAAGCCCATTTCTGGGGTCCAGGTGTCCTCTTTCCTGGAAGCTGTCTCCTGATGGTGGTGAGCAGCCATTGTGAACACCCTGTCCTTATAGGGGCCAAGAAATGGCTGCTTACTGGGGGATATGAATGAAGCTTAGATGTCTGAGGTGTCATATATGTGCAAGAAAGTCCCCTTGTGGGGTAGGAAAGAGCCAGGGTCAGGGTCAAAGGCTGGCTGGCTCTCATTGCCATAGCAATGGAGCTTTAATGAATCTGAGAATTTTACATTCATCTTGGTCTTCCACAGTGTTGTCAAAGAAAGAGGAAAGAACATTTTGACCTTTTGATTTATACATTTTAAAACATTCTGACATATWTGAACCTCTATTTGTATTCTTGTCCCAGATCTCAGTGTTAGGGAAGGGCTTGATATTTTTTCCCTGTCTTTAGCATATTAGAGGAAATTATGTCTATATAAAAATTTCTCTTGTTATTTCAGCTATACAGTTTATACTACAGTAATGAGTGCTGCCAACCCAGAAAAGTACAAAACGAGCATCAGAAACATGAGCTGAACGTAAGTAAGCTGAAGAGTGAGTTTGTCCATGCTTTGAAAGAATTGTCATAGCTTATTGATATTGGGGTGGGATGAGAGGTGGGTATGTGCTGGTATTTTTCACGAAAGATGGTGATACTTAAGATTTATATGTACATAGTATTTTCTGACAAGCATTTGGCATATGATTGACATCATTAGGTATTTTATTATGAATTGTTTGAATTGAATGAAACTGAAATCTTCCAGTGCCCTGTGCCTCTTTACCTCTAAATATACCCTTTTCTCAAGACAAGATATTATCTCTTCACACACACAGAAGAGTAAATATCTGGGAAGACTAATGTGTCCCCAGAATAATAGTGAGGCGCAGCACCTTCATAGCATTGGAAGACAGATTCTGAAGGCAAAGGACACTTCCAGAATTTATTTCAGGTACTGGTGAGTCCATAGGTAAGGAGAAGGACATTAAGGAGAAAGCAAGAGTCTCCTTCCTGCTACCCCTGAAATCAAACCTGGACAGTACCATTCTAATTGCAAGAATCATCTGAAGTTTGTAAACCTGGCCTGATGTTTTGATCACTGATTTATCTTGGGAATGTTCAAAATCACTGTTTGAATTAAATGCATTTTTTTTTCTTCTGTTACAGATTTTTTTAAAAATGAAATTCTTGAAGAGCTGCACTTAAAAAAAAGACAAAGTGGAAGTATTTTATTATTTTATGAACAATACAGACTCCTTCCTCATTATACTTTTCAACCTTATGAAATGGGGGTCAGGCGTCACTTCGGTGGCATTTTGATGGAATGGGGAATAGCATTGTTTTGCATTCTCTTCTCTTCCTCGTCATCTTGATTTTTTTTTTAAGCTTCTACTCTGGCTTTACTCCCAGCTTCTCATGATTCTGTTATCATACCTCTGCTTATCCCCTAAAGAAGTCAGCTAGAAATACCTCTTTGTTCATTATGAAGTGCTTCTAGAAGAGCCCAGTTAAAAATTTCTTCTAAGGCTTAAATAGGTCAGTTGTAGAACTGTACAGATTCTGTCTCCAACACCACACACACACACACACACACACACACACACACACACACACACAGAAGGATTTCTTCTTAAAAAAAAAATGGAGAGCTCTATTTTGAATAGAGCCTGTTTGAAGGTGTGTTCATGGGACTTTGGTTGTATATTTCCATGTGATGGGATATTTTTATATTTCTAATGTTTTTTACTTCAACCAGTGGACCTTCTTTTTTTCTAAATAATTTCTTACCACTTTTTAAGGGGAGTATGAAATCAAGTCATTTTTAGTAGTTACTTATCATTTGTTAACAAAATGTTGAAAGAGATGTTGGCAAGGAGAATAAAACTGTTTTTCAAGATACCAAATGTTGTGTCCTCTGTGCTTTCTTACCCCTGGGATCAAAGGGATCTAAACAGCTGTCCTGAGAAGCAGCTCTCCTAGTTGTGACGTTGTTTACAAGTTTCAGGATTTAAGGGAGTGAACAGCTGTTTTGTAGAATTTTATTCCCCCATCCCCCCCACCACCACATACATGAAAGAAACTTCTTTGAGGATGAAGTCACAGAAGATTAAAATCATGAACAAAGGAATTTTGACTGAATATTCTTSTTTAGTGTTTTAGCCGAATGAAGGAAGATAAATGTCTAGAAGGCAGTGTTACCTGGTCACAGAGGACCTCTACCCCTCTGCATGGCACACCTATCCAGTGGCCTGGAATAGTCACGGTTCTTCTTGGATAGTGTTATTCAATTTCCATCATACAAGGCTTTCTTTAAATAAAATATCAGAGATAGTTTACTCATGGCACATATATCACACTGTCATTGAAACTAGAAATTTCCACTAATTTATTTCATTCCATTCCTGTTTTCTTGAAAATATATTGTGATCTTTGGATGGAAATTTGGAGAAAACCCTAATTTTAACCAGGCAAGGCCATGCTATTGAGGATTCTCAGCAGGAGAGCAATCTCTGGTTGCTTTTTAGATCTCTGTCCTTTGTATTGTGTGATTTGACTATCATGTGTCTGGATATAGACTGGATTTTATTTAGCCTGTTAGGAATTTGTTGTGGCATACAAATTTCAAATTATGCCTTTTATTATTCGTTTTTGGTTAATTGTCAGTTATCTAAGACTTGCTCTCCTACATTCTCTCTTCTTCTGAACTCCAAGTATGTTGAAAGAGTTCAGAACACATCACTCAAATTATGCCATTTTAGGATAAGGGTTATTTCAAGCTAAAGGCACTTGAAAAACCAGCAGATAGAAGGTTGTTCTGACCCTCCCCTTTTCCTCCTTGAAAGCAGGAGAGAAAATCTTTCAGGAGGAAGGCAACAATCTTATGAAGGACAGGAAGTAGAAGCAAGATAATTCTGTACAAACAAACCTTATTAAACTAACCTTTACCTTCCTATTAACTTCCCCACCCAGTTAATTACCCTATTCCGAGCCCCTGTGCCTTGTCATGCTTTCACAATTTACTATTCTTTGTCCAGCTTGCTCCTCAACTTAGAATGGGCTACAATATGTGAGGTGCTTTTGTTACAATATGTGAGGTGCTCCTCAACTTAGAATGGGGTTACATCCAAAGGAAAAAACAATCATAAGTTGAAAATATTCTAAGTAAAAATTGCATTTAATACAGCCACCTATCAGCCATCACAGGAAACAACACAATACACAATACATTGTTTCTTCCTCATGATTCTGTGACTGGGAAACAGCTTACTGGAGATGGGAAGCAGGTGAGAATCACATCAAAATTCAAAATTTGAAGTCTTTTATTTTTTCCTGAATGTGTATTGCTTTTGTCCCATGATAAAGTCAAAAAATGTAAGTTGAACCAATGTTGAGTTAGGGCCATCTGTATAGTAAAACAAATGAAGAATTAAAATGTCTTGAAAGATGTAAATACAATCTAAATGTCCATCCATGGATGAATGGATAAAAGAAATAGGATGTGTACATACAATGGAATATTCTTCCTTTTAAAAAGAGGAAATGATACTATAGAGGAGAAAAAAAATTTCAACATTTTTACCCATTTTAGGTTCTTGGATTGGAGTCCTGCAAATTAGACTAACAAAGTTTAACAAACCAAAAAACAATTTTATTAACGTGTTTCATACTAATAACATGCAGGAGCACCCAGAGATGAGTAACTCAAAGGTTTGGTTAGAACATGAGTTAATATAGCTTCTTAGCAAAGAAGCTTCTTAGCAAAAGAAATTTATAGAAGTGACAAAAGAAAAGGACCCTGAGTCTCTAGGGTGGCAAACTGTCGGAAGGTGTAACTGTATGGAACCTGTGGTAGGTAGATAACGGCTAGTTAGTCAAGTTTTGTTAGTGATTTCTCTGCTGCCCTAGAGTTTTCTCCTGTGAGTAAGCTTATCCTTACAGATAAAGAAGGGAAGAGAGACACTGTTGTAAATTTATGACCTCCCTATAGCAGGAGGACAGGCAAATAGGGAGAGGGCAAAGAACTTTTCCTATGTTTGCTGCTTTCTAATTGCCTTTTGCTCAAAATAATTCTTGTCAAAGAGGCATATTTTGGGTGACATTTGTTACAATATGTGATAAYATGAATGAAACTTGTAGACATTAGGCTAAATGACAAAAGACAGATGCACAAATACTGTATGATTTCACTTACGTGGAGTATCTCAAATGGTGTCAGAAGCAGAGAGTAGAACCGAGGTTTTAGGGGTTGAGCGGTATGAAAAATGGGCAGTTGCTATTCAACCAGTATAAATCAGTTTTGCAAGGTGAGGGATTTCTAGAGATCTGCTGTATCACATCATGCCTATAGTTAATGATATTGTATGGTACACTTAAAAATCTAAGAATATAAGCCAGGTATGATGGCATGTGCCTATTTCCCAGCTGCTGGGAGGTTGAGGCAGGAGGATCCCTTGAGCTCAGGAGTCTGAGTGCAGCCTGGGCAACATAGCGAGATTCCGTCTCAACAACAACAATAACCCAAAACCCTAAGAGGTAGATCTCCTGTTGTATTCTTACCATAATAAATCAAATATAAAAGAAGAGCAAAAATAAGAAGAGAAATTTAAATAATTTGGCCTACAGTAGTTGCATGGAAGAGTTGATGGAGAGTTGATGTTTTTAAAAATAGCCTTTTTAAAAAGTATACAAGTAAAATAAAAATAAACCAAACAGTACATATTGTAATCTTCTGCCTCTCTTCCCATCTTGTAGCTAATATTCCCTCCAGACTGTATTCATCAAGACAGTTTTTAATATGTCAATCATTTGATGCTCTGAGAGCATAAAAGTAAGAGGATTTTATTTGGGGTTTTATGAATTAAAATTCAAGAGAATTTCAGATAGCACTGAATGAATGTTCCAAAGGTGACAGGGGAAGTAGGAGCTTATATAGGCAAGCAGCGCTGATTTATTGCAAAGTGGTAAAAATTCTCTCGTAGGAAACTTCTGTTGAAGTAGAGAAAGAACAGGAGCTATGGGGTAGGGATTATGTAACCAATCAAATCTAACAAAAAGAATGCATTATGTAGTAAAAATGTTCATAAAACAAGAGTCCAATAGTCCTTTGACATACATCTTGAATCTCTACGCATGATGTAATTGTCCTGGTCATTCCAGATGCCTGCAGTCAAGGGGTCAAGGTGACTAAATATTCACATTCCTAGGCAGAAGCTCGAGAAATGATAAGTCATATTCCCTTGAGGGCTTCCTGGCTCCATGTTGAAAAGCTCTTTTAGTGTTGCTTCTACTGTGATTTTCATTTTATTTTCACAATGCATATATCTTTTAAATTTTAGATACTATATTTATTTAGGTATGGTGAGGCCAACAGATATGAGAAAGTTGCCATTGAAATTAAAACAGTTACCAAGAGGAGGGGCCATGMATGGCCACAGTGGAGAACACTGAGGTGGGTCACAGGCAGAGAAAGAGACAGGAACAAAGGACAAGACGCTCTCTATAGGAAAGGAATGGTTAAGACAAGGTAAGCACAGTGCCTCACACATGCTAGGCAAGTGCTCTACCACTGAGCCACAACCCCAGCCCGATAGTTGGAATAATTTCAGCAGATTCCTGAGTGTAGGGACTACTCCTAGTTGTTTGATACCTGGTTTGGGATAGTTTTCTTTTGGAATTAGCTAACCATGGGAGGGGTACCTCCCTCTGGACAGCAAGGCCCAAAGATGTCAAGGCATCAATATAGATTCTATAYCTAGGAAGACCCCAAAAAGTCCACCAGAAAACTTCTAGAACTAATAAACGAATTCAGCAAAGTAGTAGGATATAAAATCAACACCCATAAATCAAAGGCATTTCTGTACATCAGTGGCAAATCCTCTGAAAGAGAAACTAGGAAAACYAYCCCATTTACAATAGCCTCAAAATAAACAAATAAATAAAATACTTAGGAATCACCTTAATGAAAGAGATGAAAGACCTCTACAGTGAAAACTATAGAACGCTAAAGAAAGAAATTAAAGAAGACCTTAGAAGATGGAAAGATCTCCTTTGTTCTTGGATACACAGAATTAATATTGTCAAAATAACCATACTACCAAAAGCAATATATAGATTTAATGCAATCCCAATCAAAATCCCAAWGACATTCCTCAAAGAAATAGAAAAAGCAATCATGAAATTCATCTGGAAAAATAAGAGACCCAGAATAGCCAAAGCAATCCTTAGCAAGAAGAGTTAAGTGGGTGGCATTACTATATCAGATCTTAAACTATACTACAGAGCAATAATAACAAACATGGCATGGTATTGGCACCAAAATAGACTTGTTGACCAATGGTACAGAATAGAGAACACAGAGACAAACCCACATAAGTACAGTTTTTCTCATACTAGACTGTGGGATCACTCGGTCCAGCTGAAGCTCACCTAATGGCTGAGGAGGGTGTGGTGACAGAGTTGAAAAGAGACCTCCAGAGACCAGTTTCAGAGAAYTTGATCCACTTTATTATTGCTAGGCAAACCTTTTATGAATAGCCTGTTATTGGGCAAATTTGCTGAGGGTTGTAATAATCCAATGAACTAGCAACACCCTTACAAATGGCAACCAGTGGGCTAATACGTCAGTGGCAAAAAAAGCAGAAGGAAGGAAACATGCTGTRCACCTGCAGATTACCATGGTAATGGGGCTGGTCATGGTTGGTGTTCCAAACCACAAATATCTAGAYTCAGTGTGCTGAACCCTGAGAGCCCCTCACATTTGTGACATCAYGGGCCCAACACTAGACAAAGGTGCCAAAAACATGTTGGAGAAAAGATAGCCTCTTCAACAAATCGTGCTGGGAAAACTGGAAATCTATAT